ACAACCACTGGAGATGTGAGCAGGACAGACGGAACAATTGACGGAAAAGGTGTGGACTTTATACCAGTTTTTAAATGGTGTTGATAGGCCACGTAAAACCAGAGTTATGATAAAAATATGTGCAATGTAACGTTCTGCATTACTTTTAAGAAAAGTGCTCAGTGTAATAACTTTTTTACTTTACTTTTTTGAGTAATGACCCCAACACTGATCACAACAAAGAGAGAAAATACCTCCAACATGCACAAACCTTTGACCACACTGCATGTAATTAATTTGCATGAATGTAATGTCTTTGATATGGTGCTTAAAGATGGTGGTGACTCTCAAAGTGGAGCCAATGAGAATTGATAAGGAAATCGATAATCCACACTACCATGGCAGTTTGTATCACCCCACAGTGCTATATTTCTGATTTTTATTTGTATTTCTTCTAAGCGCAAATTAAAATTTACGCTTAGAAGAAGTTTTATCATTTTATATTTTAAGTCAAAGCTTGTTATCCCACACAACCAGAAAGTCATTACTTCTACTTCTCTTTTATTCCACAAACACAAATATTATTATCCTCTGATGTCAAGTTCTATGCAGATGATATACTTTTATATCTGAGACCAAAAGCTAACTAACCATTTGCTCGTGTTCAGGAGTGAGAGTAACATCAACAATAATCCCAGTCTGAAAGTTTCCCTACAGAACATTAAACAACATCGATTAATTTTACTCATTTGCCTATTACCCATTAGCAGCTCAGTAGCATCTACTAGCATTTATGCATTCTGTTGACAAAACAGACTTTTCTGATATGTTTTGATGTTCTGTGGTTTCTGTACCTTCTCCTGCACCAGCGATATGTAGGGCAAGATGAACAGACAGTCCTTCCTCCTGCACAGCAGTTCTCTGAGGATAAGGATCTCTGCCACTAGAGTTTTCCCACCACTGGTGGGAAGGGAGTAGATCAGATTCTTCCTCTGCTGAACACAGTCCAAGTTCAGACACGTCTGCTGCCAGTCTGAAGAAACCCAAAAAAACAAAACCGGTTGTAAATGTCTTCACTTGACTTATTCTGTGCAGAAACTACAATATTTCAATTTTATTGTGATATACAAAAATCTCACCATACAAACTCTGGATTCCTCTCAGTTTAAACATCAGCTCCTTCACTTTGCTTGGAAGCCCAAAGAATGGCCCAAGGTCAGGCATGTCAGCAGAGACAGTCTCCATGGCCTGCATGGCGACGTTTATCTCCTCAGAAACCACCGCCTCCTTCAGCATCGCTGTCCGTGAAACGGCAGAAGGAGCCGCTGCGTTGCCAAGCATCGTCCTCTTCAGCTGGTCGGCAACGCTCCTCCTCGCTCCGGCTGGTCTCCTGAGTGGACCCTCTCCGTTTGCTAGTCCTCTGAAAGGCGTTGAGGTTTTGTCTCTGTCCTGGAGTCGGCTTCTCTTCGCCTTCTCCTGAACTTCCTCCTGAAACTGCAGCTGGCTAGCCGGTAGGTCCTCGAAGGGTTCATCTCCAAGGCCGTCCAGAATGGAGTCTGAGAGGACATCCTCGTCTTCTGGTTGTTGCTCCACCCCTCGAAGCCTTTCATTTTGCTCGGCATCATCCAGTTTTGCCAGGACAGATGAATCCCCTAAGATGCTGTCATAGTCGCCGAATAAATCCTCGCTGTCGCTGCAGTACTGCCAAGAAAAAAAGAATACCACCAGCGTGGACTTCAAACAGGTTATTAATCGATCAGGGCATCATTTTTCTTTCTGATTTCTGATTACTCTATGACCAACTGAGTCATTAAACACATCGGGGAGGTGTTCACTGAGCTCAGAGATTAGGTGAGGAGGAGGCCCATTTTCTCACAGACTTCAATGCACTCAGACTTGAGGAGAGTCGAACCCTGCTGGTCAATATGCAAGATGTACCTCCACAGTTCTGCTTTCAGCCATGATGCTGCTGATCCTCCTGTTGGAGTTGCATAGCGGGGAACAGACAGCCCCTCCCCTCTTCCTGGCAGGTGTCAGGTAAGCTTTCAGGTGGTCTCTCGCCCTCTTCCTCTGACAGACTCGTTTTATTTTGACTTCCAGCCTTCCGTAGTTCATCCCTGTGAGCGCAGACCCCTGCGGCTACATGTGAAACACAATAAACATTTTATAGTTCTCGCATACTTCACTAACCTGCTGCTGCAGCCATTTAAACGCCACCTTAAACAAGTTGACGTTAAATGATGAGACCTAAAAACACCAAAGAGCCCACACAGGCTCAGTGAGCAGCTAGCTAGCAAGCGCCGGCATTCAGTTACAAAAACTACAAATTAATCACAAACAAGCTCAAATAAATAAAAGTGTGTCCATGGAATAACTTTTAACACCACCAGTAATAATAACGTTCACTAAACGCGCATCTACAGCAGCTCAGCGAATCCTTCATTCAAAATAACTATCATTAATCCTGGAGTGAGAGAGAAATGCCACCATCACTTCCGCTTTCGGTTTACTGAGGCGCTAACTCTGAGTTACAGTCGTTCAAAAAGTGTCAAAACGTGCAATTAAACATCTCGATTAGCTTTTAAATGCTAAAAAATTAAGTCTTATCAAACCTTAATAATTAGACGCCTTGGATGAAAAATTTAGTTTCGACTGAAAACGGGTTAAGTCTGTTTTGAAACGGTAATTAGATGTGATGTTTGCCGCTCGGATAGTTTAGGAGTTTTAGGACAGCTGTACGTGGTTTCAGTCACGTTTCAATGACAAACTGCAACACCGCTTTAACATACATTAATAGCAAGCTGACAAGTGGCACAAACTAAAGCTAATCTGAGGCTTAGGGCTGCTTTTCCCAAGACTTTGTGTTCCGCGTGATTTCTATCTTGATTTGGTTTATCTTTGGAATGAGTAACAATTAAACCTTTCCGTAAAAAAACTCAAAGCGAAGCGTTATATCTCATTAATATTAAACATTTAGATTGTGTAAATCCGTGAAATATTAAAAACAGACAGAATACTTCTTTTAGGTTTATATTTTAAATTTAGTGACATCGTCCAGTCACAGTATATATCCAAGTCACAAGCAGCCTTTGCGGAAGTGGTTGGAAGTATTTCTCAGTTGCAGCGGAAGCGGTTCCTGTCCCGTGTTAGGTCAACATGTTGTGTCTGAGGGAGTTGCAGAGGTGGAAACCTGTCTTATGTCGTTATGGAAACACAGGTGAGTCGTGCGTAACACGTTAATTACAAAAATAAAAGTTTAACTCCAATCCTTCTGGTGCAAATGCTAACTCTAGCCGTGCTGCTTCCGTGCAGGTGTGCGGAGCTTCGCGGTCGCAGCAGATGAAGCCGGACGGACGGAGGGCGGGGTGGGTGCTGAGTGCAGGCTGATGGATGCTCGCCGTTGATTTCAGTTTGGTTATGAAGATTTGTTTGTGTTTTTCAGCTGGTGAACATGGAGAACCCGTACAGAGAGCCCCAGAAGGGCTGCGTCCTCTGTGACGTCACGGTGGACTTTAAAAACATCCAGGTGAGTCAAACGGGAAGAAACAGCTCTTCACCACAGATTAAATAATGAGAAACACGCTGAGTGAGATTATTGTCAGAATATCTGTGACCGGGAAGATTATAATCAGTTTATCAGAAATCAGGCCTTCACCTCTGACCTTTGCGCTTGGGTGCACACCTGAAGCAGCAGCTCTGCTCCTCCAGGTGTGTGACAGGATCTCCTGATCCCAAGTCAGACTGAGTCTCAGTTCAGTCGTGGATTAATCTGAGTTTGTCGCCCTGCAGCTGCTCTCTCAGTTCATCTCGCCGCACACGGGCAGGATCTATGGCCGCCACATCACAGGTGAGTCTTTGCCCGAAACAGGTCATCTGGATTAAATCATCATCAGGTTGGGTCACACCTCCTTCTGTTTTTTCAGGTTTATGCGGAAGGAAACAGAAAGAAGTGTCGAAGGCGATAAAGAAGGCTCAGTCCATGGGTACGTTCACAGCATCTTAACTTTCAATTCTTCTGTTTCGTCATTTGATTTGTTTGCTGTCATAATCTCAACTTTAATCCCAATTTTTGTCTGTTCTTTTTTTTTTTTTTTTTAGACTAAATTATTTAATTTTTTAAATTTTAGTAAATTAATATTTGATGACCCAATTAATGAAAAGCTTTTTTTTGCATTTTTCCTCTTTTTCATATTTTTGCCTTTTAACAAATATAATCCAAACATTCCCATTTTCGCCACATTTCTAACATAATTATATAAGAAGCGTTTCCCTCTGAGCTGAGCTACTGCTGTTAATATAAACTTTTGTTTGCAGGTTTCATGTCAGTGACGCACAAACATCCACAGTTCATGAAGGACCCTAACATCTGTGGAATCAAACATCTGGATTAGTGTGAAACATCCGTGTGTCTGTGTAAATAAAGTTTCTCTGCTGTCAGTTTGCTGTCGGTGAATTTCTTGGGCCAAAGCGTCAAACGTGAAGCGTGTCCTCATCAGAGTAAACACCTCTGCACGGTTTCTTAATGTGAAGGAGTTTAAACACTTTAAAAACACTTGCTAATTTTTTTTTTTTTAATTTGGACCTTCTGAAAACTGAAAGGTTGTGACGTCATCTGAAGACCTTCAACCATCACACTAAACGGAGAATCTATAAAATATTCTATCTATAAAATAATGACTGAAATATTGTTTTCCTGGATTCTCTTTCAAAGTTTGTGTCACTGGAGTTTAAAACAAAGACAATGCGTGAACTAACGTAACCTGGGATCTCTGAAGTCCCGTCGCCTCGTACAGAGCCGGTAAAACCCAGAAGGTTCGTGTTTATGGAGAAAAATCAGTTGGCCTCATTGAGCCGGTGAGACCGGCTGTGGGAGAAAACTCTTCTTGCATTTCATCAGTTTTTAGAGTTCTCACCACCACCTGGACTGGACCGGACTCTGTCGTGGGCTGATTCTGGTCCCCAAGCCACATGTTTGACTCCTCTGATTTATTTGAAACAGAAAATAAAAACAGGCAGGTTTGTGTAATTCAGAGCTTTATGATTTCTGCTGCAGTCTGAAGATAAACTCGAATGACCGCACACGGTCAGACCTTTAATGGAACGCACGCTTCATCCTTTACAGTGAAAAATAAAACGCAGTGTGAAACAGTTTCTTTGTGAGCGCGAGATCAACTGAAGGTCAGGCAAAAACTTTGAAACCAAAGAAAAGGTAAAAACCCGATGACTCTAAAACCGAACATCTGGAACAAACACCAAAGTGTCACAGCTGGAAGTCTAAATCAAACCAGTCCTCCATCTGAGCGTGAAGAGTCTGAACTTTACACCTGCTCAGGTAAAAAGAACCTCTGCTGTCCTTTTTTGAAACAAACTTTATCAATAACAGTTCTTTTAAACAGACCGGTTCCAAAAACATCCGACAGAACTTGGATACGTCCTGGACTCAGCTCTTGCTCCTCCTGCGTTTCCTCTCCTTCTCTGGCAGCATTTCCCTCAACCTTTTACGGCAGTTTGTTGCGCTCGGCGGCGGCGCCTCCCTTGCTGTCGTGGAAATGTCATCTGTGTGGTCAGGAACAGGAAGTCCCTGCAGCGTGAGCGTCTGAGTGTGGAAGAGCGGCGAGGAGGCGAGCAGCGCCCTGACGGCCTCCTGAAGCAGCCGGTTTTTCCTTGGCTCGCCGGGGTCGGCGGCGCTTTCTGTTCATGGAGAAAGTGCAAAAGTTCAGAAACATTTTTACTGCAGGTCATCAGCCAACCGTGATTTTAAATAAAGACATTAAACTGGCACTTCCTTTTTCCTCTCCTGTCAGGGTTTTCACCTTCACCTACCACTTTAATTATCACTGCGAACCAAATATTCATCATTATTATTATTTAAATTTCTAACTGGTCGAATTTTTAAAATATGAAAAAATCGAAAAATTCTCTCCATGAAAATGCAAAGAACGACTTCACAGTCTGTGGAGAGCACGCCAAAGCAACACGCAGTGATATAGACCTAACCACGACAAAATACTGGCCAATCAAAAGCCCACAAATCACACAACACCTTTGATTAGAGACTAACTCTCAGTTTTCCTTGTCCACATGTTAGCACGGAAAGAGTTTCTGCGTTGTGTTTTTAAAATGCTGGGCTGATCCTGAGACGTGTCTCTGGTGTCGGGAAGAGGCAGATACCGGAAATTCATCTAATCCCGCTGCTGTGTGAGATTAGATAAAATAATCTGAAACCTTTTCCTGATTCGCTCTGCTGTCTCTCTCTGAGCTTCGTCCTCAGGGCTGACACCTCCGTCTGCAGCATTTCGACCAGGCGTTCGCTCTCCTCCACGTCTCTGCACGTTTTCTGTTCACAAACAGAAGGATGCAGAGTGAATCAAACAGGAAGTGAGGTGGCAGGAAGTTCAGGTGCTCTGACAATTTTGCTCACCTGCAGCTCCACCTGCAGCGAGTCGTTCATCTTATTCACTTCGTTCACCTCCTTCAGCAGCCCGCTGGAGCAGAAGAACTTTGACCTGAAACAAAGAGATCTCAGTTATGCCAGCAGAAACACAGACACGGTGTAAACGTGCCAGCGTGGGCGGGGCATACCCGTGTTTCTTCATTGTGAGGCTGTAACCGGCTGCAGAGCACGGCGCCGACACCTTCCAGTAAGAAAGCTGCTCGAGGAGGCCGAGGTTGGTGATGAGCACGGGGACGTTCATGAAGTGCCTCCACAGGAGAAGAAGAAACACAAACCATAAGGAAAAGACACGAGTCAGTTAAACGTGGACACACCGAGCTGTCCACCCGCCTCCACCTACCTGTTTTCATTCAACGTTCCTCTAACTGACCTGATTGCTTCACCCAAAGCTGAGATGTTTTAGACCTCTGTGACTGACCTTAAAGCCTCACCAGTGTCCCTGAATGCCTCCCAGTTGTTTTTATTCACTTTAAAAGCCAACTGGAGCATTTTAATAATTATACAACATTTCACTTCATTCACACTCAGTTTCTTCTGATATTTAAGTTGCCAGCACCTGCTGAGTAAAATGAGGTTTTTTCTTTTCTTTTTATATAAAACTAAGAAACATTCATCCAACACAAACAGGTGGCAGTGACCTGGTTGATCAGCTTTAACAGTAAAAATTATCTTTAAGAGGTTTCATACGGGAACTTCAGGCAGACAGAGGTTTGGCAGTCTCAGATTCTGATGGTGTTCCTCAGGGCATCGTTCTGGAGCCCCGGGGTAGATTATTTTAATCTAATAACTTAAAAAAAAAAAAAAGCCCACCTTTGCTAACTCTGTGGACTGATTTCAAATGTCACCAAAGGAGCAACCTCCCACAACACAAACTCCACATTTGGGTAAAATCTATGAGATGATGTGTCTTTGTAGAGGATTAAGAGACAACGCTAGAGAGCAAGCTGATATAAAGATATTCAGGTATACTCAGAGCGCCACCTGCTGCGGGAGATGAAGGCCGAGTACTCCATCCTGTGCGTGGAGCCTGGCGGTGTCGTCTTGGTGGGAGTCAGCAGCACAAAGATCATGTGAGGGTTGGAGAGAGCGCTCTTCAGGTTCTCGTGCACCAGCTTCTCTCTGAAGGTCATCTGCTGCTCCGAGTTCCTGCGCTGCCGGTACCAGCCGATCACGCTCTCCTTCACAAGCCGAACACGTCAATCACATGATCGCATCATGCCGAAACCTTCTCCCCACCCCACTCACCTGCTTGTTCTCTGCCAGCAGCTTGTGTAGCTCCTCCGCGTTCACCTGTCCATCCCTGCTGTACAGACTGACACACAGACACACCTTTACATAAGAACACAGCACACACACGATGGCATGATTACGTCACGATGCATCACTCACGTGTTCAGTCTGTGGCAGGCGATGTGCTTCTGGACGTCTGTCAGAGAAAACAGACATTCCTAAAAGTGTACCAGTAACTGTAGTACTCGTGTAACCGTACAGTTAATTGAGATGCACTTACTGTATGTTTCCTCGATGTGGATGTGATCGGCCTGAGAGTCGCTGATGGTGACCTGCTCGTCAAACCTGCTCTCTCCGAGGATCAACCCCTCCTGATGGATGAATAAAACCAGATATAAAAACCCTACATCTATAAGCATTTGTTTACTGAATATAATCATTTCAGCTACAGCATTTTTACATAAATATTAAAATATATGCCAAATTTACCAACAGACCTACCTGAATACTTGAATGTATTTGATTATGTTTCACGCTAACGTTTTCTTGTCAGGAGCCATTTTCATTAAACTTTACATTTTTTAAATGTAGTCTGGTGTATTCTGAAACACGGTGGTGGACGAGAACTGAGCACCAATTTTTCAATTAAATTATGTCTTCAGTAAGATTCAGTAGTTGGATTAACCATATGCCGAATTTACCAACAGATCATCGTTAATTTGGGGATCTGATTAAAAGTGCACGAATAATAATAATCGGTGTTACATTAAAACCTAAAATCTGTGAATGGAGTGTGGTTTGCACCGACGGGAATGGTTGAAAAGGAGCAGTAACATCTCGGGTTTCATGCAAAACTCGACTCGCGTAATCGTTCCGTGTTGGATCATGGATGTACCGAATTTTCCTACAGACCTGTCTGAATATTAAAATATTTTTTAATATGTTTTACACTGTTTGACTTCTTACCGGGACCTGGTTAAATTAGTAGATTTTTGAATGGAGTCTGGTTTGTTTGGAACCTGAGAGCGGTTAGCTAGTTTAAAAGTTGAAGAAACACCACAGGGGGAGTTTTGACTTCACTTAGACGACAAACTGTTCTTCGCTGCATCAAACGACACGCTGAAATCCGAATAATTAAACTAATAAATACGAATTTATCAACTTTAAAGCCTGATACTAACACCTGGCGCGTCTGTTCTATTTGCTAGCTTTCCCAATAATACTACATAATCACCCACAAAGGCTCAATAAGAATTCATCAGTTTTAATGACGAGTAAAAGAGCTCATTACCACATCGGAGTCACTGTTAACGTGCTGAAACATGAGGGAAGCTAAAACGATCCCGGGCAAGCGGACAGTGGGCTCCGCCATGATGCCGTTTCATCACAAACACAGACGCGTCACATACGCGCAGTCATACGCTGCGAATTTTTTTCGTGCGCAGCAGGCTCCGCTGCAGGAGGAGCGGGCTGGTTAGCGAGCTAACCATAAAACCAGCGGGCTGAAGGTTCAGTTTCTCCGGACAGCAGCACCCGCTCGCCTCTCCTCGCTCCTAGGCACACTTCCACTGAAACAGGGCCTTCTGTGGGGGTCCTGTCCCGGTAACCCGGGTTAGTTCAGTTTAGATAGTCGGACTATCGGGTCTAACTTCCTTTATCCGAACAATAGCTCTAGTAATTCACTCCTGTAACGGTACTTTGGATTTGAAACGTACAAATACTCGATTACAGGTAAGAGTTAAACTTCCAGAGTCACCGCAGGCTGTTTAATAATCATAGTTTTGAATGTTTGTTGTTGTTGTTGTTGTTGTTGTTTTAACAGCTAAACTGATTGTTCTGCTAAAGTTTTAAAACTACTTCATTTACTGCTGTGAGTGACTGTTTTATAGTCAGTATATGAACCTGTAGTTAACAACTGATTTCATTCTGAGTTCAAAATGGTCATTTTCTCATTATAAATTTTTATGTCAATTAAAATTTGTTGTTTTTATATTACATTAAATTACAAGTTTTAAAGGGTTATATGTGTTTTAAAAGGGCTGTAAACATATATGTATTAATTATGCATTAGTTAAATATGTGCACTTGGTTTTTAAACAGCCTGTGATATAATGAAATGCCTTATTTGTCTTTCTCACGCAATAGTCAAAACTCTTCACCTTCCTCTCATTTAAAAGCAGACAAATATGAAATTCACATTTTTAACCTATATTCAATCAAATATTTGATGTTTTGTTGGTAAAAAAACAAACAAACAGAAACCTAAAATATTTCTATTATTATAACTTCAATTCAGCAACAGCTGTAATATGAATTAAAATGTTCTTTCATTTGTATAAGACTTTGTTTTATACATATACACAATACATGAGCACATTTAGCACATTTAGTTAAAAGCAGGTCAGAAAGAAAGATGATAATCATAAAAACTCCCAAAATAAATCTACAGTCATAACTGAAAAGGTTTGGAGTATTATAGAATAATAAAAAAGCAGAAATACTTGAGCATAAGTACCTTAAAGTTGTTATGTATTATATGTTATGTTATTTTTCTTTGACGTTTTTGCTTGAAATAATAGTTTTAAAAACTTTTTAGAATCTGGAGCTTAAAATGTTTAGAAGAAGATCCTGTAAGTAGATTAGACAGAATTTTGTTGGCAGAAGGAGCTGATTAGTAAACAACTGTCATCAGCATAGAAATGAATAAAGCTGTTCCTATTCAATGATCATTTACTTCTGTTCTGGAAAGTCAAAGAATGAAAGTATATTGGGGAGAAGGATGGCATGCTGACTGTGGTGGAGGTGATGGGGAGCAGGTCAGAGCGTTTTTGGTTCGTCCTCAGGGGAACATGATGGGAACGCCTCCTTTAACCTCCTGTTTGCAGATGATGAGGTGACCTGCAAGCTGTCAGCAATGGAGGACCTGTGGACCGTGGCCGTGGCTGTTTTCCAGCTGTGGATATTCGTAGTTGTGTTCTTCATCACGCTGCCCGCCATGTTCGGCCTCTCTCTGGGTGTCACCAGCGTCTACATCCAGATCCTGGTTAAACTCCTTGAGGTAAGCTGTCCTCAGAGGAATTCATGTCTATGGTCAACATGTGTGTAAAGTTGTGCAATGAGCAGCAGCGGCAGAGTGGGGTCAGAGGTCATCTGTCCTAATAACATTGCAGTGGGCCACGATACGAATCCAGAGAGGACGCGAGGAGCAGCCCAGCGTACCCGCACCGCTGCCCAATGGTGAGTCTGCTCGCATCACAGCAGAAAACATTCAGTGTGTCAGTTAATCAATAAATAATGACTAATGATCAGACGTAGAAATACATCATCAGAGAAGTTTGATTATTCACATTTATGTAAAAACTACCGGACAGCAAAAGCTGTCAGATAAAAACTCATCGTCCTCAATAACAAATATAATAAAAACAGGAAAAATATTTTAAACAGGGAATAAAAAACATCAAAATAAAATTATGTATATGTCATGTATATATGTTTTATAATAACATTTTTATATAATTATATAAATCTAATTTTAAAAAGACACTTTAAATAAAGAAACTATAATATATATGTATATATACATAATATATATATACATATATTTATAATAAATGAGGTACAAAGCCGTTGGATATTGTCATAATAAAAATCAGAAATAATAATGTTTTTACAATAAATAATTTCTAATAACATTAGAATAATATTTGAAAAAACTAAAATTAGATTTTTAAGGCTTTAAACAGTGAATCGCTATGTTAAATGATCACATTTGGTCAAATTGAAACTGTATTTATTAAATAAACCAATAATCCCGTTGATCTCATGACTGATCAAACTTTTGTTCCGTTCTGATGTGGCGCACAAGACTTTAAAAGCAGAAAGAGATTCCTCTGTGCTGCTGCTTGGAGTTTCAGCTCCTGTTCCTGTTTGGATGTTTGGGCTGCGAGCACAGATCACGTGACGCTGTGCCCCGAGGGTGGGGGCTTCCTATTGGTCAGCTGCAGCATCTGATGTTGGGCTGTAGGTCAGGGAGAGAAGCACATGGCTCGTCTCAGGATGATGATGCAACAGCTGCTTACATAACGCTGGTCAAACAGAAGCCTGAGAAACTCAGACACACACACTAACACACACGTTAATAACAAACACAGGTACTGCTGCTTTGCTGCTGTGTCAGAGGTTTAACCCTTAACAGCCTGTAGGCCTCACAGATTTACTGCAAACTTTTTCTGAGGCACAAGATCAGAAAAAAAAAATAGAAATAAATACAAGAACCTTTCACACAGAGTCAAACGTCCTTAAGGACAGGAAAGTGACCAACGTTTAAAAAAAAGGTCATTCAGGTCCCTCTGGGTTAATTCAAGGACAAAGACATGGAAACAGGAAGACACACAAACATGACAACAACAAAAAATATGAGACTCTAAACAACTACAGAGAGACACAAAACCACCACACAGAGAACAAAATGACCCCCAAAACAGATGAAAACACATAGCGACACAGAAACAATCACACTGGTTCTCAAAGAGTTGATGTTTTCAGTAGGAGAAACGTTTCATCATCATCCAAGTGACTTCTTCAGTCTCAGCTGACTGCAGGTTTCCCCAATCTTGTAAACAGTAAATTTGCCTGAAACCAGCCCACTGACGAACAATGTGAGGTCAGTTTCATGATCATTGTTATGACCATGAGTAGCATTTACAGAGAGTTGGGGAATGGCTGCAATGGTTAAGATTAAGGAACTGACCTCACAGCCCATTTTTCACCAGTGGTGCTAGTTTCAGTTAGTATGCACATGTACTGTTTATAAGATTGGGGAAACCTGCAGTCAGGTTCTGTTCAAAGGTTGGAAACCTGGAGTCAGCTGAGACTGAAGAAATCACTTGGATGATGATGAAATGTTTCTCCCACTGAAGAATCCAGATGAACAGAATCAACGATTGAGATTTGCTTACCTGGATGATTGATCATGCATCAAGACAGTCACACAGGCTTTTAAAAGAAAATCACAGAGACAGGAGGAGTTTGATAAAACATATGAAAATACATGATATATACTCAAATAAAGACAGTGAGACTAAACGCGGTGCTGTTCTTTGTTCCTTCCTCTCTCGTCTCCACTGTGTCTTTGTTAAACTCTGGTCCTGCTGAACTCTTTCTGAAACTCTCTGATGACTCAGGGATCATCGAGCGAGCGGAGGGCTCGATGGAGGAGGAGATGGAGCAGTTGCGGCGTTCTCGGTCTCTGGAAGGCGGTGAGTTTGCTCTGAGTGACGCCTTGTATTTCTGCAAGAAGGGCCTGGAGAGCATCGTGGACGACCAGGTGACCCAGCGCTTCTCCTCTGAGGAGCTGGCCTCCTGGAACCTCCTGACCCGCACCAACCAGAACTTCCGCTACATCAGCCTCCGCCTCACCATCTTCTGGGGCATCGGCGTGTTCGTGCGCTATTGTGTCCTCTTCCCTCTCAGGTCAGTGTGTCACAGCTCGACCTCTCACCTACCCGGGGAGGCACTGATTTCAACATCATTGGCCTTTGCAACAGGAACAGCAGCTCTCACAGCGGTGAAGCAATTCAGCCAGAGGCACGTTTCAGTGCTCTCAGGTCACTCCAGTGCTTACATCTTCTGCTTTTAACTAATAAACAGGAAGTGCTGCTCACTGTAACACATCACTGGTGAGAAAACAGATAATAGATGAGCAGTTAGCTGTAATTATCTCCAAACCATCATCACCGCAGTGCAGTCTGTACATGTGCAGTTTGTATGGTTACACCCATCATTCAGAAACCAGGTGACAGAGCTACTTTCTCTCTGAGGCCTTCTCAGTGAATAAAAGTGAGACAGTTCTGATCAGGGGGATTTTCACCTTCTCCTCCTCATGTCTCTGCAGGATTACTCTGGCCATCATCGGCCTCTCGTGGCTTGTGATTGGAACGACTCTAGTTGGATTTCTGCCTGAGAACAGGTATGGCGCTTCCACGGTTCACAGCTTTGGTGACTGCCTCGGCGAGGCACAGACTGAGCATGTGCATCTGTTTCAGTGTGAAGTACTGGCTGAGCGAAGTTGTCCACCTGACCTGCTACAGGATCTGTGCCCGGGCGCTGTCGGCCACCATCCGCTACCACAATAAGTCAGTCCACTTCATCGCTTCCTGTCAAGTGCTTCCTGTCGAGCACTTCCTGTCGATCTGAACACGTGTTTCTTTCTGCAGAGAGAACCGACCTCAGAAAGGAGGGATCTGCGTGGCTAATCACACCACGCCCATCGATGTGGTGATCCTGGCCAATGACGGCTGCTATGCCATGGTAAGTGTCATGCGTGCGTGGGTGTGTGTTTATGTGTGTGTGTCGGCGTGCCTTTGTGTGTTTGTACATGTGTGTGTGTTCTGTTGTCTTGATGCTATGTTGTCCTCAGGTGGGGCAGATTCATGGAGGTCTGATGGGGGTCATCCAGAGGTCGATGGTGAGGTCGTGCCCTCATGTTTGGTTTGAGAGGTCGGAGATGAAAGACCGCCACGCGGTGACCAGCAGGTGAGGCTGACTGTAAACGATTTCACCTGCCAGACAGAGTCAGACGTTTTTATTTCTGCTCCAAACCGTGATGGTGAAGATGCTCTGACATCAGTGACAGCTGGGTGCGGCCCGTATGATCACACATTTTTAGCACCGTGACCTTTAATTTGTTCCGTTGGCTCAGGAGGTAGTTCAGCGTGGCTCTGCCTGTCAGAGCCGGTGGATCAGGAGCCTGTGTGTATGTTTGTGCGTGTGTTTCATCCTCTGCCGAGCTGCTGATGATCAACTGTTGATGTTTACCTTGCTGTCTCCTCGGCGAGCTGCGGCCGTGTGGCGTAACGCTTTGATGAGTCAGCTGAATTGGTCCAGGGTCACTTCCTGTGAACTAAATGCTCACCACAGCCTCGAGCTCGAGGGTCACACTCAGGGTTTGTGACCACATTACAGTCAAACAGCGAGAGAATGGGAACATCTGTAATTACAGCTGTTTTGTGAAAGTGTTGATGCAGATGTGTTTGATGACTCACTGACGTATGCTTCCTCTCTGCAGGCTCAGAGCTCACGTAGCAGCAAAGACCAAACTTCCCATCCTTATATTTCCTGAAGGTCAGCGTCACATGATGGTGGTGGTGATGATGATGATGATGGTGGTGGTAATGATAATCATGATTTGATGGCTGTATATTGTCTGTTTGTGTCTCTGTAACAGGAACTTGTATCAACAACACGTCGGTCATGATGTTTAAGAAGGGCAGCTTTGAGATCGGAGGAACGATCCATCCCGTCGCCATCAAGGTAGCAAAGCTGCACGATGATCGATTAGTCCAGAGAATGTTTTACCTGAGCCAATCAGCTTTGAGAACCTGACTCACCTTCACTCCCTTTGTGTCTCAGTACGACCCTCGCTTGGGTGATGCTTTCTGGAACAGCAGCAAGTACAACATGGTCAGCTATCTGCTGCGCACCATGACCAGTTGGGCCATCGTCGTCAATGTGTGGTACCTCCCACCCATGACCATACAGGTACGCCTCGGAGGTCAACGTCTCTAGAAACACCCCAGTGAGGGATCTGAAGTACGAGTGGGGAAATTAAACTATATTTTTGGCCTTTAACCTTTCACACACATACTGATTAATCCATCAGGGGTCACCCGTCACATGACCTCACAGGAAACAACAGGTAGAAAAGATCAGCTGACCGACGTTCTGCTTGTGACCAACAAACTTCCCACCAACGTTTACATCACCAAACGTCTGAGCATAAATCATTTGACACTAATATAGCAAACATTAACTGTTAACTGATGAGAAACGCACACACACACAATAATACTGAAAGGCCTCAAATAGAAACACAATAAAGACACAAAGTGCAAAGCGCATAGAAATTGTACTGTTTAGAAACCTATGCACAAGAGTTGCAAACAACAAAGTTATATACAACCATTTACCTAAAAATGCAGCCAGTGCCTCGGGCGTTTTTTCTATAACCCTCACAATAAGATGCCACACAAATGACTTGTGCCACTCCAAAAAATAGTTTCTGTCCACTATAAGACGAGGAGCACATCACATTTTTCCACCAATAGGAAAAGGTTTTTTTTCTTGTTTTGTTTGTTTTTCAGCAGCAAGTTATAACGAGCACTATCCTTAGAAAGTGTCTGTTGACCCCAGAGGGTTAACCCAATGAATTATTTTGTGTTTCATCCAGAGTTAGTCTGGACTTCCTGAAGGCCTGACGTCTGAAGGTTTGAGCGCTTTCCTTTGATTTTCAGTGATCTGCCCATGCTGTAATTCCCACTCTGACCTGATTGGGGCAGCATCTGCTTCACTGTGTCAGGAAGGTGACACTGTAACACCTGAGCATCATCATCATCGCCCTCCAGCGTCTCTTTTGATGGAGGGTGATGATGGTGATGACAGCTCTGCAGATGAAGACGAGGAGTTAAATGCTGTGCTGCTCGCCATTTGGGCTTTTAAAAGCAGTGTTACCGAAGCATAAACACACTCTCTCACACACGCACACACACACACAGATTGTGAGAGTCATGTGATCACAGCTAACATGACCGCGGGGTGTTTTCAGGATGGAGAGGATGCAGTCCAGTTTGCCAACAGAGTGAAATCTGCCGTTGCTTGTCGGGGAGGACTGCTTGACCTGGCATGGTGAGTACTCAGATTACTCAGTACAGTTAAGTACATCTCACTTGAAGTTTGTATCTACATTACAACAGTTTAAAGATAGAAAACACTTTTTTAAATGATGAAATAACAACTTTGTTCTGAATCAAACACTGAACGTTAGATTTAGTTTGTTCGTCCCGGTTTGTAGGTGTCAGTCGTGGCGACGTCTGCTTTCACATACAGCGAGCTGAAGGATTTCACCTTAGCAGCAGGGACCATTTTCTCTCAGCCGAGCGAGCTCACAGAGAAAAGGGCTCATTTAAAGTGACGTGTCCGCACGACTCAATAAAACTAACAAGCAAATGATTACGCGCTGTAAATAATAAATTAATGAGTAGTTTTTTGTGTTTGAGTCCCGAAGTTATGACTATATGATATTTATAATCCATGACAGCATCAATTCTGTGTCGAAAACCATCTTTTACTGTTTTTCAATCTATTTCGAAGAAACTGCAAGATTGAGATTCTCAGTGAAAACTTCCTTCCTGATTTTTTTTTTCTCCATTTCAGGGACGGAAGCCTAAAGCGAGGGAAGGTGAAGGACGCGTATAAGGAAGAGCAGCAGAAGATGTACAGCAGGGTCATCGTCAGGCAGAACAGCATCAGTGCCACACACACCCGCAGAGACGATCAATCATAAACAATCAGTCACAGCAAAACTCGGTCATCTGATTTTAGACTTTACAGGACAGACCTGAATGCCACATCAGACTGTGGGTGCAGGACAGCATCTCCACCAGCAGGAGGCAGCATGACACAACACAATCACCCATCCAGCTGCTCATCTCCTCCTCTTCATCATCATCATCATCAGCTGCCAGGACTGAACTCTTCATCACACAGATGAGGATGATTTATCATCATCGCTGTGTCTGATTTTAACTTTTGTACAAACATCTGAACCAAACTGACACTTTTGCTCACTGTTTATTTCTCACATGGACGAAGAAATATTTCATCTGTGTGTCTACACACAACACACCATAAACCTCTCACACACACACACACACACACACACACACACACACACACACATACAGATAAATAATCCACATTTTTCAACAAATCCCTTCTGCAGTAACAAGAAAAATAATAAAAGAATCTAAACAGAGATCGACATAGTAAAGAAAGTAAACATTATTACAATATTACAACCTACCTACCTATATATATATATATATAAAATAGTTTGTAAAATGAAAAGAAAGAAAAAGGCAGAGGGAAAATTAAACAAACATCAAACTTTTTTATGATTATTTTTATATTTGCCCACATCAGAGATGATGTAATGCAGGGTTGGGATGAGGTCCTCACTGAGGTGAGAGGTCAGTCTACCTTTTCTTTCTTTATTAAAATAATCAGAATATTTAGGATCCATGTAATTATTTTGTTATTTGGAATAATACAAAAATGTTTTTAATTACAAACATAAATGACAAGACGTTTTGGGAGAAAAAAGATTTAAAGGTTACTGCAAAATGGACTCGAGTTCGAAGTATTCGGGTTACTTTACTCCAGTATTCCACATGTGTTAATATTTTGTCACCTGTTAGCGGAGGTTAAATGAGTCACGTGAGGCCGCGTCTGTACTTCAGAACCGACTCTGAGGTCCTCGCCTTGAGAGGGAGCCGGCAGGCGATGTGTTTACTGTGACGGCGCTTTAATAAAGAAAGCAGAGACTGTGAAATAACATGGAGTTATTCTTCCACACACGGACGGCTTACATTTCACAGCCTCTGTGCTCACGCCGAGGCCGCCGCCACCGCCTGGAATAACAATCCCACAGCTGGAATAGCCTGAACAGAAATGTTTGTTCTCCCCTAACAAGATTGTGAATTATTAATAGGATCTAAAGCCGATCCCATAACCCGATTGTTGAGGTGGGATTGTTGGCGAGCGCTGCTCCACCACCATTTACTGTGATGTATGTGTCTGCACATCTTTAGATCCAATTTAATGTGATTCAGATAGATTTCAGGGGGACATCATAAAAGGCATCGCGCTGACCCCGGCTGCTCGCTAACGCCCCCATGTACGCCCCGTCCCAATATGTTGATTCAATTTGCTCAGTTTTACGTTTACCCCGACTGATCCATACAAATGCAATGCAGGTACGCTGAGTAAATATGAATACATTTCCAAATTGAATCCAAGAGAGTGTATCGGGCGGCGGACATCATTTTAAATGACGCTGTGCTGGGAAGTGACCACTCACAGGGGTAAATGACTGTTCCCTCTAAGGCTCGCCATTAGCTCGAGTGTAATGCCTTTAAATACATCGTTCTGCCATCTGTTCTGTGCCGCCGCTCTGATGGATGTGATGCAGACGAGGTCCGGTCCAGCTCCCGGGGCCGATCGATTCCTGAAGCCGGACTCGCTCCGACCCCACTTTAACACATACGGTACGACACGCAGCCGGGAAAGGACGTCGGGATATCAGAGCCTCACATGGTATAAAAGAAATCATGGGAACAATATTCTCATGATTTCTGTGGAAAATAAAACGACAACTTCATTTTCTGAGGTTAACTATGAGAAAAGTAAAAGTGTACATAGACGGAGAGTCTACTCATAACACAGTTATTTACATATTATTGGTACGTCATAGCATCATTAGGTATGAAAAACAGTTGCTGCACAGATCATTATAAGCAGAGGTAAAGTTACTGCTACTCACATCAGTAATGAGTATTTTCATTTTGGGGTTATTTATGCTTATTTTATATGGACACACTCAAATTACTGCACACAGTAGTATTTCTACATTTCACAGCATGACAAAACATGAAAAATGTGTTGCTTAACTATTAAAAACCATGTCAATAAACCAAATTTTAAAAAAAATACAATGTAGAAAAATCTGTCGCGTAGTCCCTCCATGATGTTTTAATGAGGGCAGTTTGAACTTGGATGAGTCTCCCAAACTGATCCTGTGAGAAAACCCAGAACCCTCACCTGGATCAAGGACATCATCTGGTGAGACTAGGACTTCCCCGGCGAGGCCAGGGTTGGCTCACCCTGAACTAGCTGTAAGGATCGCCCTGCAGGGAAGGTGGAGTGGCCTATTTAGTGGGGAAGGAACATGTCTCCTCTGGAGTTGTCCACAGTGATGCTGGTCCCCTCCACCTTCACTCAGTGACAGGGACACCTGGAGGAGTGTGACTGGGTTAATTGTATTTTTCAGTATGATGGGGTCTTATTTGTGTGGTTGTTTTTGTGGGTTCACTAATTACTGATGTGTCGCTGTTGAAAATATTTTATGTCCGTGGTTATATTTCGTGTCTTCTTTTGGACACAGAGTCCCTTTAAAGATGTTTGGCCTTACTGCATGTTGTTTCTGTAAAATGTTCTTTTGCATCATTTGAAGTAATTTCTCAGGTTTAGTGCCATTTTGGGTCGTTTCTGTACCTCTGTGTGGCTGTTGTGTTGTTGTTGTGTCTGAGTGGTCATTATTAAAATGAAAGTGGGCCGAGAGCAGACCGTGACAGCTTCCTGTGAGTGTCGGCGTTGTCCATTAGGGGGAAATGTAAGACCGAGCCTCTGACAGCACCTCTCATTTGCATACTCTAATGAAACAGGCATTAATTGGTCAGAATCGATTTTTTTCTTGCTGCTGTGATTGAGCTACAATTGAGTCTGAAGTTCTTCAAGTGGATTGATTTGTGGTTAAATTCCAGCTTATTTAGTTTGGGAAATAATGATGTCGTCATGCGTTGATACGGCGGCCGTCCTCCTCGTCCAATCCCCTTCTCCGTGTTTGTTATGTGTACAATCTGCTGTGAGGCTTTGACGGCGCTCGCTGAGTGAGGAGGTGGAGTCGCATGAAAAATGTCCTCCGGCAGGGTACATGAAGGTGTGAAATTGCAGACTCCTCTTTGCCCTCGGCCTCATGCCTCAAAAGGTATTTCTTCTTTTATTGACAGTGTGGCTGAACCGCGGGCTGATGGCGGCCGCCGCGGAGCCCACATCCCCCTCTATCCTTGATTGCTTTTGTTTCCAGGTCACCTCCTATCTATTCCTGCAACTTTTCCAATTTCTCAGGGCTTGTTGTATGAAGACAGAAGGCGCTCGCTGGGAAACGCACATAAACCTCCGCAGAGCGCCGACACAAAGGAAACACTTCAAATCTTCCCACTTTCACGCTCAGCGGCGACGCTGGGCCCGTCGACTTCATCAAAGCAATAATCAAATAAATGCCGTGGTTCATTAATATGAAATTATCTTAGCATGAAGATTAATTGCATTAAACTTATGAACGTGTGTTTGCCGTGGATGGCGGCGGTGGAGATGATGGATGATGAGAGCGGCGTGATGAATGGAGAAAGCAGCGGAACTAAATTGAAAGTGTACTCATCCGTTCTTCCCTCACAACTAATGATAAATTGAGCGTGTCACGTCCAACAATACATGTCGAGGTTTAAACATGGCCGCCTGTTCCACACAGGCCAGGCTCCACGGCAGGTAGACGGAGGGGGACGTCCAGCTTCAGATCAGTTTCAGTCCTTTTCCACTTTGACTGCCTGCTTACAAACCGCCATCTTTATTTCCACTGATGAAGACACCACACTCCTGCACCATGTATGCTGTATGTCTTTTTAAAAAAACTGTTCTCCATCATGCTGTCATTTTTTCCATCATTTTAGGTCACTGGGTTTGTTTTTGGCTTATTTTTAAGTCTCTGAGGACATTTCAGAGATTTTGCATGTCTTTATGATCATTTAGTTTCTCTGCATCCCCATTTCTCTGCTTTTGGTCATTATTAGGGCTTTTCGATTCTGTTTGAGTGATTTAGTGTCTTTTCGTAGGCCTTTTAAATGTTAAAAATGGAATTTTCTTTAACGATTTTGAGCCTTTTAATTAATGTTTTTCATATTTTTGTAGTTGATTTGTATGCTTTGGGTAATTTTTAAGACCTTTTGGGTCTGTGCATGTTTTTGTAGTGATGTAGAACCTTTAGGATGCTTTTTTGCATCCTTTTGCCCTCATTTTACACTTTTTTGTGTGTGTGTGTTTTTTGTTTTTTTTGGGGGGGGGGGGGGGGGGGGGGAGTGTCTACCTTTACTCATCGGTCCCTTTGAAGACCCTTTGTGTCTGTAATTGTTTTCTGTGTTTGGAACTTCTTAGTTTTTTCTTATTTTGTCTCTTTGTGGGATTTTTTCCTATAGTTTGGATCATTTTAGGCCTCGTTTGCTTGTGGATATTTTATTTGAACTGATGACATTACTGCTTCTCTAATTTAACAGAAAGCTCTTTTTTTTGCTTGACTAACCATGTGAATCACTAAAGTTACAGGTACTATCTGATAGTGAAAAAGTTCACATGGTTCATACCTCTCTGTGGAAGTCGATTCAAATAGGTTACTTTACCGTGGGTCGACTTCAGCTCTGCATTTTAATTCCTGGCTAGTTTTAAAGGATTCACAGTTCAAAATAATCGATCTTTATCTTATACTGAATCTCAGTGCAAACTTTCAGTTCATCCTAACCTGAAATGAGCTGTTTTAGCTCCTCCCTCTTAAACTGACTTTCTCCTGACTGGCTGCCCCTGGTAACTGTAAATGGGTGGGGCTTCTGTGCCTTGGGTGACCAAATTAGGGCTATTCGCTCTGTATGACATCATACAAATACAAAAGTAGAAAAAACTAGTGAAGTGTGTCAAAACTGTCATGTATTTAATTTCTTTCTAGTTTTCGCTTTTAAAGTATTGTTATATGATCAGCTCTGCAGCGCCCCCCTCAGGTGGCTCTGTTTCACCTGTATGAGCAAGTCTGACAAACATTTCTGGATCTTTTGTCCTCTGGTAATTCTGCATGTAACTCGACCTTAATCGCCCCCATTTTACTCTCCACTGATCAATAACTTTAATTATTTTTCCAAATAACTACCGGAAACATCTATAAGGATTGATTGCCTGAATATTTTTTGCTTTGCCTTGTTTAAAAACCCAAACGAGTGACAGGCAGCCAGAGTTACAGATGATCAAAGTCGAATTAAGACAGCGTCTGGCGCCGCTCCAGCTCGCAGCCTCTGTTGTAAATGATATTGCCATCTGTGAGATTACAACAGTTGGGGAATGAAGAAGAGGATCTCTATCAGTCTGCATTCGGCCCATTCGTATTACAGTAGCAGTCCTATGACTGCTGCTGCACTCAGTCATTATCGACATTTTCTGTAAAGTTTTAGGCATTAAAATACTGTGTTACATCAGGTTTACCGTCTCACTTCAGATCTACTCCACAGGCAGCACAAAGCAAATCATTCAACTTTTGATGTTCCTTCAACTGACACATGAAAATCCATTTTAGTTGCCTTATTCAGCATTTACAGTCAGCTGTAAAAAGCTTCATGGGGTTAAGCAATAAGCAGAAAAAATACAACTCCACGTGTTTCTGAATGAACCTGACTCGTGAAGACTCCGTGGCAGTGTATTTGCTGACTTCCCAAAATGTGCAAAAAAAAAGCAAGTTAGACACAAAATGCACTGACCAAAAAAATTACACAAACCCCCTAAAGTAAACCAAACACTCAAAAAACAAACCCAACAAACTGAAACATGTGCCAGTGCAACAAAAAGGCAAACAGAAATCACCAAAAAATGATCAGAAACCAAACGGGGAAAGAAGAAAGGAAACAAAAATGAAAATGACTCAAACATTAAAAAAAGCAGAAGGACAGAAACTGTGAAGAA